CGAGATCTGATAATGTGAAAACGTAGGTATAAGAAAACAACTAATGCCCCAGTAGGGAGTAAGAATATAAACCCGTAACTGAATGCCACCTCTCTCGTAACATGCTGCACACAAACACACGCCCCAAACAGACGCCTCAAGTACCGCGAACAAAAGCCTTCGACAGCTCAAACACCGTACACGTCGAACAAACACGGCAGGGAAGTGCCTCAAGCAACCACATCAGACACACACTCCGCAGATTGCCCACCAGGCCTACTTATCCTCCGCTGAGGATAACTCAGCAACCCCACTTGCGTGGCAGCGCTCGGATTTGCACTACAGCACGTGTCTAGTGGGGCATCATCTACAAAGATACAAAAGAATCAATGCTGGCCATCTCGCTACTCATGCTGATGATACTGTGGCTGCTGCCGTGGGTGCGGCTGTTACGGCAGTAGTAGTAACAGATTATCAGCGCAGATGGCAAGTAGTAGTATCTCAGCAGCATATGCCGCACATAAGGATGAGAGAGGAGTACACGCCAACCGTCAGACAGAAGGCCTGGGTGCCGGAGGCGGTGGACAGGAGTGGCTGGCGTTTCGTAATAACGATTTGTCACTTAGTTTCTTCTATTCTTCAATTCAGACGCCCCCATACACTGAGATTGTTGGGGAGATGTCGGTACATTTTCAAACTGCAAGGAGACGGCTATAAATGTCTAAAGGTGTCTGCATAACCAGGGAGGAAAACCGCCTAGGCAGCTAGCAGTAAATCAAGGAAGCGGGAGATTTTAGCCTGTAACAAGCCCCTAAACCCTTAAGCCTTGACCCTACGCCAACCTACAACAACTCTTTAGACCCTAAACCCTAAGCAACGGGTGACGTTCCTCTTCGCGGCGTTGTCTGCGGAATGGCAATCCCTATTTTCCTATCGCCGTGTTTATGCATTACATGTTAGTGTGTGTAAAACTGCAATGCAGAACGCACAGCTGAGCGTCATAACAACAAACAAACGGGGCAGGGGAGAGAATAAAGGCGCTAAGACGCCTCTTGGTGGCAGGTGGTGTTTGAGTATGTCTTCTAGATTCCAACAATCTCTACAAGCAAGTATATGCTCATCTTTATTCGATCGAAACTACAATAAAAATGTACATATCAGGAGCATAGGGTATCTAACAACGAATTAGATTGCTGCTATTGCTCGTGTTCTTGCTGTTATTGTTGCTCTTCCCACCAGCCCTAAACCCTTGGGCCCGCTGCATGTCGTTGACACTGGCGTATGTTCTGCCGCTCTGCCCCTTTTCTTTCTCCCTAATTACTTTCATATTGCTGCAATTTAGAAGATTATCACGAATATAAGGATGGCTGGGAGCCGCTGCTAGCGGCTCGCAGCAGCTGCCACCACCACCCCACCCCGATAACCACCCCCCGGTTAAGGGTTAAGGGTTTAGGGTTTATGGTTTATCGAGGCGCGATGCCCCCTCTCTAAAGCAAAATGGCGCTGCAGGACTTCACAGTCGATCTTATTCAACAAGTTATTCCCTTTCGTTCTCCGAACCCCCTGGAGGACCCGCGAGAACACCGCCTGCGCCTGGTATGAACGTGAAGCCCTAAACAAATGGAAATACGAGTTTTGAAAGATCAACACATGAATTAAAGAGAAGCAGATATCAAGCATATACAAAGACAATATGGAGAAAAAGGGATATATGGGTCTACTCACCTGCGATTTCGCTTATCTTAGAAGCATGTTACGCAGCTGCTCGCAGAATTGCTTCTTTTACGTTGAATATTACCACATATGGAGCTAGTATTGAGAAGAGGAATTTTATCCAATCGGTGCAGCTGATGAGGCGCTCTGTTTTATATACAGGTTGAGAGACTAGGGGGTGGAACCTACGGCGATGTGTACCGTGCAGTAGAAGAACCCGACGAAGGCGGTGGGGGAGGCGAAACATTTGCCGTGAAATATTATGTAGACGAGACGCGAACCGTCACAGAAGATGGCCTGGGCTGTACAACCATCCGGGAGCTCTCTACAATTTCCGTAAGTTCAAATACACACGGTTGGAGTGTATGGACTGCTGGCGGGTTTTGTTTGGCTCGTTCGGCTGCCCCTGCTTTGCTTTATTTTACGCGTGTATTGTTGTAGTTCAGGTGTATGTACAGGTTCTTTTGTGAGTTAATACGACTGCTTCTGGTTTGCTTTCTTTCATGCCTTCAGTCATTCGGTTCCCACCCGAATTTGGTTCGCATGCGTTACCTCTTTATCGATCAGCTTCCTCGTCTGGTCGAGAGCATCAACCAGCAGCGGATACAGTGGGCGCGGCAGCAGCATGCAGCAGCGGACCCTGAGAACCAGGAGCAGTTGCGGCGGGAGCTGCAGCAGCAGCTGCAGCAGGAGGAGCTAAAGCAGACACAGGTCTTCGTCTTTGCTGCTTACGAGCTCTGTGAGGGGGGAGATTTAAAGAAACTTCTCGCGAAGAAAAGAGAAGCAAAACCTTCCCCGAGCGTCTCTCCTGAATGGGGCCTCCCCCTGAAGCACGCCAAACTTCTTGCATTTCAGCTTCTGAACGGGCTGGCGTTTCTGCATAATGAAAAGGTAACAAAAAACGAATAAACAAGCTGCAGCTCGATATCCTTGCTTTCGCGACAAACAAAAAGGTAGACAAACTGTAGCTCTTTATGGTTTCTTCTGCTGTAAAGAACAAAACGAACGGTAACCCTGTTCGTTGCAACGAACATGAGCTGCCGTTTGTTTTGCTCCTGTGGTTTACTCTTGTTTCTTCCTTCTGTAACAACTGATAAAGCGCAAAAACAGCAGCTGCTGATGGCTTTTTCTGTTTCACTACGGCTTTATAATTCGTGTTTACTACGTTGCACCTATAATGGCTTTTGAGCACAGCTCTTTCCTTCATTCCCATCCGCTAAACCCCTTAGTTTGGCTGCTCTCCTCTTGTGCTTAAATTTAATTCAACTTATAACAAATTATGTTTTTTTTATAACAAATTAAATGCTGCCATTGCCATCGTCCTCAAGCTCGTGTTGATTGCAGCCTTATTATCCGTGAAAGAATGCCAATAGGCATATAATAGCTCTTCAATAGTATTATTGCTGTCATTACTATCATTACTATGTTAAATTAATCATTTAAATTATTATATTCAGGTTATTATAGTTGCGTTGTGATTTGCTTCTTTTGTGTTTGTGCAGCTGTGCCACCGCGACCTGAAACCCGACAATTTGATGTTAACTTCAGAAAGCGAAAATTGTGTTCTTAAGATCGGAGATTTGGGGCTTTGCCGAAGTTTTAGGGCAAACGCCGGTATATGAATTTGTTGTTTGTTTCTTTTAACTTTATATTTATGCTTATCGTCATGTTCATCTCTGTATCTTTATTGTCGAATCTGAGCTGTGCAGGCGTGCTGCTGCATACTTGCGTTTCTTGTTTATGTTGGTTGTGTTTGCCTACGAGTTTCAGGGCAATCGCCAGTATATACATATGCTTTTGCTTGTTTCTGTATCTAGTGTATGTTTATGTTTGTGTGCTGTCCCACCTATATAGCTGGCGCTTTATCTTTACCGATAGCTGATCGTTTCAGTGCAAAAACGAATATATAGACCTGGTGTTGCATGCTTGGGTGTAACCTGAATTGTCTAGGTATCCTGCTGCATGCTTTTTGCTTCTTTATGCATACCTTTTATTTGGATACGCATACATGTGTTCTTTTGTGTTTGTTTATGTTTGTTATGTTTATATTAATGTATATCTTCATGCTTATCTTCTATTGTGAGCTATATAAATGTGTTGCTGCACCATGCCTTCATCGTCGCACTTGCATCAAATGTATTTCCTGTGGTGGCTTATGGTTTGTCTTCCAGTCTGTTTATTTCTGTGTACATGATGCGTGTTTGTGTGCATACAAGTGGTTGTGAGTGTTTGCATGTCTCTGCGGTTGAATTTTCTTGCCTGTGTTTTATTTTGTGTTTTCGTTTTTTTCTTGTGTGCGTGCTGTCCTTTTTACCTCGGCCTTCATGTTAACCGGTGCGTGTTGGGGCGTATATACACCTGTGCGCATGTGTGTCTGTTGGTTCTCTTTGCTGCGGCTTTCAGGCGAAATAACTCCAACTGTCTGCACAATTTACTACCGCCCTCTGGAGGTTCTGCTGGGGAGAATGAAAATCGGCAACGGCTGCACTGAGGTGATTCCCTTATTNTGATGTTTGTATTGCTTTGCTGCGTTTTTGGATTCTTCCGTCGTTTTCGTTTCCGTTTGTTCCTTTTCTGCTGCTTAACGGTGCTCACAACACCAAATGGAAACTGCACATACACTACACTGCTGGTAGCCAGGGGTACCGGCGCTTCAGCGTCTTGCTTTGGGGATTTAGGGTTTGTTGTTCGGAAGCTAAGCGCTTGTCATTTAGGGTCTCGGGGCTAGGGTTTCGGGTTTCGAGTTTAGGGTTTAGGGTTTGTGCAGGACCAAGGTACGCACTACGGCCTCGCGTCGGTCATATGGTTTTAGGGTTTAGGGTTGAGGGTTTGTGCAGGAGCAAGGCACGCACTACGGCCTCGGTGCGGACATTTGGGGGGCCGGCTGCATTATAGCGGAGATGTTTCGGGGTATTCCGCTTTTTAAAGGGACGCAGGAATTTGAAGTTTTGATCCGCGTAACGAAAATACTCGGCACCCCAACGGAGGCAGAATGGACGAACTGCACCGCGTAAGCAAACAACGAAGACAACGCACAAATCAAACGATCCCGATACAACGATCCCGATCCAATGATTTAGGCGATCCCGATCAATCGATCCCGATACTGCGATCCTGATCCCGATCCCGCGGCGGCTCATGGATCGCGATCGGGCGATGCAATGATCCGTGTCGGTGTGTTGTGTGCGGTTTCGGTTTTTTTGTGTTTTTGTTTCTGTAGGTTGCAGCACTACCCATTTGGGAATCGAGGAGAAAGTCATTTCTTCAGTGAACACGATAAGCGTTCAAATTTGAATGCAGTTCTTTTTGGTAAATTAGATTTAGATGGACTCGATCTTCTCGCAAGGATGTTGGATTACAACCCCCATACACGCATTTCAGCTCAAGAAGCACTCAGCCATCAGTGGTGAGGCATCCACAAACCCTAAACCCTAAACCCCCTCTGTCGGGTGTTCTGATTTCTAGAGCTTTCTTCTCTTTCAGTTCGCCTCGCCGGCCAACTGCGTAGCGCATGTACACCAATGCTGTAGTGTTCCTGCGCTGCAACTTTGTTCTGCATTGCCGCTACTGCTGCTGCTGCTGCTGCTGCTGTAGGTTTACGGACGTGGCGTTTGGGCAGTTGGACGGCTTGGGTGTATACAACTGGTTTGTAGATGTGCTGAAGTTTCGGCTGGGGGAGAAGACATACGCTGCAATGGAAGCACACACGCCGGGGTGTCTATGCACCTCAAAGCTGTCTCATATTTTGTGTCAGCGCGGCTATAGGGGAGCTGTCGTCCAGCGGATCGACAGAGTCTTCGCTGAAGTTGGGGGCTTCCAGGAACCCGAACAAAGCCAACACTGGAAACAAGGTGCCTCCTCCCGCTGCTCCTGTAGCTGCTGCTGCTGCTGCTAGTGGTCCTGCAGCAGCTGCTGCTGGCTCCCTGCTGTGGCTGTTACGGCTGGTGCTACTGCTGCTGCTGCTGCTGCTAGACATAGGTTTGCAGTTGCTGCTGTTGCTTTTGCTCTGCTTTGTGCTGCTGCTGTTGCGTTCCATGCGGCTGTTTCTGTGTTATGTGCTGGTGCTGCCGCTGGGTCACTAGTTTGTCTCCACTTGCTTGTTGCTTTGTGTTCTGCCTGTTTTCCTGCTGCGCTGCAGTTGTTGCTGCTGAGAGGCTTGCGAAGGCCAGGAGGGACCGCAAGCAGGCAAAAGATGTACAACAAAAACCTGTCGCTGCTGCTACTGCTTCTGCAGCAGCAGCAGCAGCTGCTGCTGCAGCTGCAGCCGCGGATCAGGAAAATGCACCTAGCCGCACAAACCTTCGATGTTGCCCCTACCCTACAGTGAAGGGAACATCCCTAAGCCACGCTGCTGTTGCTCCGTCTGAAGGCCCAGTAAGACGCGGAACACACTGGCACAGCGCAGCAGCAGAGGCAAGCGCTGGTAGAAGCAGCAGCAGCAACAACTGCAGCAACAACAGCAGCAGCAACAGCTGCAACACCAGCAGCAGCAGCAACAGTTGCGGCAACAGCAGCAGCAGCAGCAACAACAACAGCAGCTGCTGCAACAACAGCAGCGGTAATGACAGCAGCAGCGGCAAGCCGTTGTCTGGCGGCGCTGGTCGTCTGGGCATTGCCTCTCTGCTGCTGTCGAATGTGCCTCTGATGGGGGGCTGCGCACCTGGTGGGGGGCTGAGGCCTCTGAAGGGTGTTTCTACTGCTGCTCCTGCTGCTGCAGCAGCACCGTTACCTGCAGAGACAGCTGTCCCTTCCCACGATTTGGGGGATTCTGCTGCTGCTTCTGCTGCTGCTGGTCATGACAACAACAGACACTGCAGCAACGCTCTTTAGGGCAAAGTAATGTCTTCGTACATACACATAGCGAGAGGCGCTGCTGGGGATGCTGCTGCTGCTTGTTACAACTAATGCTGCTGTTGCTGCTGCTGCTACCACGGATGCTGCTGCCGACTTGCTGCCTAGTCGTTGTGTTCCTCTTGGGGAATTGCATATCTGTGCCTAGTAATAATAGCCGATAATAATAATCGCAGTAACAACAACATCGTTCTTTTATTACTACAATTATACATATCCTTTGCTTATGGTTTAGGGTGTGTGCGTGCGTTTGTTTGTGTCGATGCTTCTGTTTCGTTGGCTGATGTTGGTGAAGGCCTTAAATGTGTTCGTTTAGGGAGTTAGTTAGTATTGCGTTCCTATATATCTACATATTATATACATATATATATAATCATATTTAGCTGGGGGCTTCTGCAAATGTTTGCCGCGTGCACTATTCATCGACTAAATACGAAAATGAATGTCCTCTGCTCTCCTGAGCAGCCAAGAGCAGACAGTCCAGGGGGCCTCCCCGGGCCTCCCCGGGGATGGCTAGCTAGCTAGCCAGCTAGAAGCCCGGTCTCCATGCCAAATACTTGGTGGGCTGGGCTGCTAGTTAGCTGGCCGTAAAGCCGTGCACTTGGCTAGCTAGGGACCCGGAAGGGTGGATAGCTAGCTGACCCTGTGCGCGGCTAGCTACCTACTAGTTCGCTAGTCTGGTCTTTGTTTGGGGTTTATTCTGGGGTTTGTCTTGGGGTTGTTCCTGCAATTAATAATATGTTTATAGATGAAGAGACACGAGAAGAGGAGCAGGAAAGAAGAAACAGCAAACAGCTCCTCCAGTGCGTACGAGGACCGCAGCCTATGCAGCAGCCTCAGCAACAAATACGGGCTTGCTGCCTCCCCTCGAGCAGCAGCAGCAACTCCTGCTGCTTCGGCTAGCTGCTGCAGCAGCCGCGGAGGAGACAGAGACAGACAAAAGCTAACATATAGCACCACAGGCAGCCAGAGATACTGCAAACAACACACAAACAACCAAACAAATAAATAATGATATAAAATAGACAGAAGAGTAAACAAACCAACAAACAAATAATGTGTATGCTACACACATAAGCAAACGACGCTAAACAAACAGACACACAGGAGACAGAAGCAATCCACAAGACAAGCAGACGGAGATCTACACAAACAGAGAAAGAACCAACAAACAGAGGGAGGGACAAGCAAAAAAAAACAGAGGCAAACAAACAGAACTAGAAAACAGAGACAAACAAAACAGAGACAAACACAAACAGCTTGCTGCTACTATTGACGTAAATATTAATTATTTATTGTTTATTTCTTTTACTACTACTACAATTATTATAGCTATTTTTTATTATTGCCATTATTATCATTTATTAATATTATTAGTGTTACTATTTTTACTTATTCTTTTTGAACAGGAGACCCTTACCAGCAACGAACGAACGTGCAGTCTGAGGCGGGCTGCAATCAACTCGAGACAAAGAAGAGAAAAACAAATAATTTGAATTCCTAGGGGAGGAGCGAAATATAATGACTGGAAAAAAACAAACGCAAGCTGCACATACACCCCAACTCTTGCTCCCCTGCTTCCGTTTCATGCGTCCGCCTCCGCTTCCCCTCCAACAGCAGCAGCAGCAATCGCAGCAGCTGCTGCTCAAGCAGCAGCAACAGCAGCAGCTGCTGCTCAAGCAGCAGCAGCTGCTGCGCGCTGCCTAGTTGACTGCTGCAGCGGTTGAAACTTTTATCTGCGTTTACCCTAAACCCTAACCCTTGAACCGTAAACCCTAACCTTGAACCGTAAACCCTAAACCCTAGTTCTTCTATCGCTTACAGCAGCAAAAAAGCAAAGGCCAGGAACAAACCGCGGCAGGTGCTCCCGAGACATCAGACTTATCAGGAGCCTGCACACAAACCCTAAACCCTAAACCCTAGACCCTTCACCTGGGCCCTGAATGCCATGGTTCACGGCAGACATAGCTCCCCGCTAAACCCTAAACCCTACCACCGCGGCTCACCGAGAAGACTGGTAAATGCAGAATGCGTCAGAAACGAGGAGTACACAGAATCCTATGGAGAGCTGCTGCTGCAGCAGCAACATCACTTGCTGCTGCTGCGGCTGCGGCACGAAGAAGCTGCTGCAACGCTGGGCTGCTGCTGCTGCTGTAGCAGACAACCAACCCCCAACAAAAGGCAGCATCTCTAACCCCTCAAAGACAGACAAAACAAAAAATGTAGGATAAAGCGCTCGCAACAGCAGCAGACCAGGGATGACCAGAAAATTCAACTCGTCCACCTGCAATCACAAACCCTAAACCCTAAACCCTAAACCGTAAGCACTAGGGCACGCACTAAACCCTAAACCCTGGACCATAAACCCCTCACGGAGAATGTTCCTGGCCCATCTAAGCATTCTAAACACCTTGAAGTCTAGGCCCTAAACCCTAAACCCTAAACCCTAACCCCTCACGGAGAATGTTCCTGGCCCGTCTAAATCGGCGGATAGCATCGTTCTCCCCACAATGGGGTGGGCCCATGTAGCGGTGAAGAAAGGAAGCTGAGCCAAGACAATGAAGGAGAGTTGAAAGAGGCTGGGGTGTATGTCCAGCTGGGAGATCGCTTGGAAGCAAACCCTAAACCCTGAACCCCCACCCGGCAGTAGAGCCCTCAACAACGGAATATGTCGCAGGAAAGCCAAAGACACACAGGCCTGCTGCTGCCCTGCTGCTGCGGATTCTGCTGCCGTTGATACACGCCCACACAACATATGCAAGATGATGAGAGCAGCAAACGAAGAAGAAATAGAATCACTCGAGTGATCAAAGAAATCCCCGCCGGCGCTGCACAAGCCCAAACGGCGAGCCTGAAACCACAAACCGTAAAACCTAAACCCTCAACCCTAAGCCCCGATAGCGCTGTGCAGTCCCAAAGGGTCAGCCTAAACCCTAAACCCTAAATCACAATCCCCTAGAGTGGCGTTCATGCGCCCAAAACTTAAATCTCCCAAGTGGAGCCCATCCCCTGAACCCTAAACCCTAAACCCTAGACCCTAGGCTCACTTGTTTCCCGTCTAGGTTGTCTAGGAGCGCATAGAGGATCCAGAAGAAGGCCGAAGCTGCGAGCCTCGTGGTGCTATCTGGGGCATGGGGAGTGCAGCAGCAGAAAGCAGCAGCAGCAGCACAAGCCAAACCCAAGAAGGAAACAAGGTCAGGATGAACCCAGCGAGGCAACCGCTGACAGATGCGGTCACAGACAGGGGATACAGCCCACTGATAAAAAGCCGTGCCCGTGGGAACATTTCCGCCGCAACCGCTGCTGCTGCTGCCGCCACTGCTGCTGGTGCTGCAGGCGTTGCTGGAATTGCTGCTGCTGCTCTTCACGCGTGAACGCGTGACCGGTCCACAGGACTCTGCCATTCTCGCGGGTGTATCGACAGATCCCTGCCCCAAGCAAATGCTAAATCTAAAACCCCAAATCCTAAATCCTAAACCCTAAGCCTTGCAGGCAGCCTAGACATATCATAATGAGGCCGCACGGCTGGCAGCAACAGCAGCAGCAGCATGCTGCTGCTGCTGATGGAGCTGCTACACAGGAACCTCGGGATGCTGAGATTTCCACGCCAAACCCTAAATACTAAACCGTAAGCCTTTTCTCCTAAACCCTGAAAACCCTAAACCCTAATCCCTCACACGCGAGACACCGCGGCCTGCGTCGGCGGCCCGCTTGCGCGTGAACAGCTACTGGTGAGGGTTTATACGGATTAGGGTTTAGCTTTTAGGGTTTCAGTTTAATATAATTTTTTTAATTTACAGTGTAACCCATAAATACACTCGATGGTCCCTGCATATGCGTTTCTCAGCCCTCCATGCCCACGGGGCTGCGGCTGTGGGGCTAAACCCGAAACCTTAAACCCTAGCCCCCGAACCTTACACACTCAGCTTTAAACGCTTTAGGAGAGGAAATTAGTGCTTCAACTGTTGGCGTGAATCGTTCTATGCCTAACGCTCATACGTACGGCTGCTGCTGCCCGCCACAGCTCTACGTAAACTTGAATAGCCCTAGGCTTCAACGCGGGGACCGCTCGGTTTGTGTACAAGACGTGTTGGAATGGCGGGAAAGCTTTTAATTTTCAAGATATTCTGGTAATGCATGTTTTTTAAATTGTTACCTATGACACAAAATTCAATTATTTCAATACACGGACTCGAGCTCGATAGAAATGCCTAGAAAAACCGCTAGGTCGCTAGAAACCAGTACCATGGCATGCCCGGTGACTCCCTTCATCAAGAAACCTGAAAGCTAGACCCAGAAATTAAAAGGGAAAACACTTATTATGAATCGCTGTCCAAGGTCTGCTGCTAGTTCATCAGATAGACCGTATTCTTCAGGCAGCAGCGCCCGCGGTCAGTCACCGGTTACTGGGATTCCTGTTGCAGCGCCCATCGTCAGTAGACCCTTGGCGCTACTCTATGTTCAGCAGGATTTCCTGCGGTTCGAATTCATATAATACATGATGCTGTTCATCTTAGTATTGTTTACTAATATTGCTGCTTTCTCTTGAAGACGTTTCGTACAGGCACCCAATTGTGATGTACTGCACTGCGTACACTGTGGAGAGCAGCAGCATCTGTGTAGCGGTTCTTTTCTCTATGAGGGTATTCTTTATTTCCATTACCTACAGCACAATATAACTCGTAATAACAGATGTTTCAGGCAGCAATAACTGCAACGGACCCTTTGCATACACACAACTCGCACTCTCACACCCGGTATGCGGGCTTTTCTTGCAGCGGCTCTAGCCGCTGTTTCTTCTGTTGCTGCTGAATTATCTTTTATTCTCCATCTCTCTTCACTGTTACTCATTTGATTATGATTTGATGCAATAGGCATTGTGAGGTGAGCGCACACCCGACGGCTCCATACAGTATCATATTTCTAGGTTAGGAGATTAATTAAACTTTACTTACACTTGATTTCTCTGCATCTGTCACTAAATACAGGGATAAAAATGTTTTGTCTTTTGGTCGTTTTTGCTGGTGGTTAAATACAATGAAGACGCAAATAACAGACTTGCTGCTGAGGTTTATACGGGGACGAGAAAATCTAGACGATACCTGATGGGGATTTTTATACACACCGTATGTATATAGATTTGTACAGATAATATGATAATAAGCATACTTATACATGTATGTATCTATCTGTTTACATATATACATGATATATATGAAGATGCGTGCAATATATATGCATACATGTATACATTTCCATTAAAAATATATATATGTATTATTTACAGTTGCCTTATTCTAATTACACGGCTATTTTCCACTACCATATATGTTGTATATTATATCTCCGTTGTTTTATATATAACTTAATTATTACTATTATTTCTACTATTATTATTACCCCCATAAACACCGTAATCAGAGACCCGCGACGTCGCGACACTCCAGCAGGACCTCGGGGGCCTGACATTCACATGTTAGGGTTTAGGGTTTAGGATTTAGGGTTTTGGTGTTTAGTGTGTCAGGAGGCAAAACCCTTGATAAAAAAAACCAACACTACCGATCCGGTGGTTTAGGGTTGCTCGCAGATGAGCATCATATTGCTGTTGATGGTTCAGGGTGTAGGGTTTAGGGTTTAGAGCTTAGTTTCCGGGGCTTAATTTACTATTATATTTGCTCTACGTATACGAGTCATCGGGAGCCGCAAACGGGATCCCCCCTGGGGCCCCGAGGGGCCCCCTGGGGGGCCCCCTTGGGGGCCCCTCCTGCGTTTTGTTTCTTCCTGGTGGTACGGATGCAGTGGAAACCGAAGGTGAACTGCGGTGAAATATAATGCAAATAGTTTCTGTTTTAGAAATAAAATGAGAATTATTATTCTTTTACGTGTACATACACCTCAACTCTAATTTTTCACGGTGGGGATTTGCATGCTGGTTGGGCCCTCGGGCTTTCTGTGTTGCAGCTCATTCTTTTTCGCCCTTTGTTTGCTCTAGCAGCTCAAATACTCAAATAAGCTGCAGCATCAGCATCAGTAGCAACCGCAGAAGAAACCGAAGGAGCGGCAGCTGTAGCAGCAGCAGCAGCAGCAACGCCAGTAGCAGCAGCGGCGACGGCGAACAAGGGAAAGTTTCCTTTTTTTTCATTCTTCATTTGTCTGCACATGACGGCTGCCAACACTTTCTTTCTCCCCTTTTCTCGTCTTAGTTAAAAGGAAATGGCATTTTGTTTGTCTCGGCTCCGTCGTGTATCTGCTTCCCTCTCGGGCTGTACGTACAACTCGGTTGCGCCGCTGCTCCTCTCCATCCGGGTTTCTTCCTCTCCGTTAAACATTCACTCTGAAATCGCTCGGAATGTTGATCCTGCGCATGCAGTTTGCAGCAGCAAACCCCTAATTGCCCCCATCACGCCAGGTGTATGCACGCCTCAGCTCCCCCAGCCGGCAGTCGCTGACAAACTTGAATGCACCCCGACGGCCCAGAAGCGGAAACAGGAATATTTTAAAATCATAAACAAAGAAGGAATGAGCAAAAAGAAGTGCGGCATGTTCTGGGACTACTACCTTAACAAAAGGCAAAAAATCAGAAAAGCCAGACGCCGCATATAGCCTGCTGCGGTGTACGTACACCACAGGAGTGTACAGACACCTCAATGCAGACTCCGAACCCCAACAACATGGGTGTTCTTCTTTTTAAGGGTTTTGGGTTTAGCGGCCTAAATACACCCCAAGTGCGCCTCTGCACGGAGCGCACGGGCGGGTGAACCTCCCAAAGGAAAACTATGGAGCGACTCGCGAGTTTGCAGTTGTTCAGCTAGCTTGCTAGCTGGCTAGTAAGCTAGCTAGCCATTAAGCTAGCTAGTTATCCAGTCACTCAGCAAGCTAGCTAGCTAGCCGCTCAGCTAGTGCGTTGGCTAACAGCACCTATGTGCTGGACCAACTAAGTCATGCGGTGGCGTGGACGGCGTTTGGGGTCTAGCTCGCTGGCTAGCTTTCCAGTTAGCTAGCTAGCCAGTTGGCTAGACTGCCACTGAGCTAGCTGGCCATTCACTGAGCTAGCTAGCCATTCAGCTAGCTAGCCATTTAGCTATCTAGCCAGCTGGCTGGCTAGCTAAGGTTCATCTTTGAAAGTTGAATTTCTGGGATACTGCGAAGGACGGTGTCTGCAACTCCCCCAGGAGTTGTTGGGGGAAGAGAACATGGAGTTAGGGTTTAGAGATGCGGCGAAATTAGGGTTTAGGCTAGGGTTGATGTTAGGGTTTAGGCTGGGGTTGATGTTAGGGTTTGAGCTAGGGTTTAGGTTGATAGGAGGAGACTGCTGAGGTGGTTTGGCTGTCGTGTGGTAATACTTCGAATAACACACAAGAGAAACCCCAGAAATGAAAACAACAACCACCGTCACAGACATCTCGAGGCCCAGCCGGGTGTACAGACACCTCAATAGCCCCAGTACCTGAGCATACGCCCACAAAACCTAAACCCTAAACCATCGGCCTCAAGCGAGCACTAACCGGAAAGCCTAAACCCTCAACATCAACAGAATCGGCACGATCCGTTTCACTTCAAGACCGTCACGCTGAACCCCTCCCGAAACCCTAAACCCTAAACCCTCATCTTACCAGATGCTCGAAGCCCCCTCGAATGAGTGCAATTGTTGTTTGGAGGCCAACGGCAAGAAGCAGACCCCCAAGAGAAACAAGAAGGAAAAGGGAGGAGAAAGACAAAGCCAGATAAAAGCCAAGCAGTATCAAAGCAGCTCCCACCACCTGCATCCACAAACCCTAAACCCTAAACCCTAAACCCTCAGCCCGAGACGCAGCCTCGTGCTAAACCTCAAACCCTGCCACCCCCGACCCTAAACCCCAAACCCTAAACCCTAGACCCTACGACGGGAACGTAAGCCGCAACCGTAAAGTGTAAACCCTAAACCCTCCTTTATTTAGTCTTACATTGTAGAGGAGACCGAAGAAGTTGTTTCTGATTTGTTGTTCATATGTACTTTTCAACTCTGTTTGCATCCAGTGTGTTGAGACACGATGAACTAAAGTTGGAGATAAACGAACATTTGTTTTTATTGCTGCTGCCTCGGATAGAAGCAAATCCTCAGCACGACGCCGAGCCATAGCCGCAAAGCTCTGCCACATGTAGTACGACCCCGCCTCTTCCTGCAACAAACCATAAACCCTAAACCCTAAACCCTAAACCCTAAAGTCTAGACCCTAGAACCCTAAACCCGAAAAGACGAACCCTGAACCCCTATGGCATCAAGGAGAAACACGCCGAGCACACAACTTCAACCCTTCTCTTGGCACCCTCAAACCCTAAACCCTAAACCCTAAACCCTAAACCCACGGCTAGCTCTGTCTTCAGCTGGTCTAGAGGCCTGCTGCAGTTGCTTTTTATTGCTTCGAGGTTTGACTCCTCGAGCGCCGCTCCCATCTCATACAGCCGTTGCTCCATCGTCGAGGACACCTGCGCGGCAAACCCTGAACCCTAAACCCTAAACCCTAAACCCTTTCTGCCAGGGATTTCCGCCAAGGCTCCAGTCCGTTCAAGCAGGCACTACCACAGCAAGCCAGCGCACCGAACCCTAAACCCTAAACCCTAAACCCTAAACCTTACTTCTTTCCAGGGGTCTGAAGAAGAACAGTAAACCCTCGATAATTCCTCTCTGGCTTTTGCTTTTGCTTCTTCTACCTGCGACCCCAAAACCTCCTCCTCCACCGGCAATCCACCGTCCAGGGCTGTCAGCACTTCATGCCGAAACAACACCTCCCAACGCTCCGCAACCTCCTGCAGAACAAACCCTAAACCTTAAACCCTAAACCCTAGACCCTAAACTCTCAATAAACCCTAAACCGTCTCGCTGTGCGGAGGTGTCCCACTGTTCCACTGCACTATACCAGCAAGCCCAGCTCCCTCACCCCGTAACCCTCACCCCCAAAAACCTGACCCCGAAGCCGCAAACCCTAAACCCTCTACATGCCTGTGCTGTTTCTTTGCATTTAGAATTCCAGGTTTTGAGCGCCTGCGCCTCTAGTTTGGCTAAAGTTGCCGCCAGGTCAGTGGAGATGGCGGAATACAAATCGACGACATCCCGCAATCCCGAAACCTCCGATTCAAATAAAGTCCATGCTGAGGTGTACAGACACCTCAAACATACAACATATTCAATTACAAATAACAACGACCAAAAACGACAAACAAACGCAACACACAACAGTAACAAGCGGAAGAAAACAGCACAAAACAACAACAGACAAAAGCAATGAACAACAAAAACAACGAAAGAATGACAGCCAAGAGCAACAGCGGCAGCAACAGGAGTAGTCTTGCAGCAACACTATCCTCAGCAGGAGCAGCAGCAACAAGAGCATCAGCAAGAGCAGCAGCGACAGCAGCAGCAGCAACAACGTCGAGAAGGCTCACCCCCTTGCTGCCAGTCCAGCAGCAAACCCTTGAATTCATGCAGAGGCCGCAGCAAATCAACCGGTTGCTGCTGCAGTTGCTGCCGCAAAGAAGCTGCTGCTCGCTCTGCTGCAAGTTGCATGCGATCCGTTATGCTCCTCTAAACAAAAAACCACAAATAAATATGCATAAATATAAATACACACAAACAACAAACAAATATAAATAAATATACATAAACACAAACGAAATATAAGTACAAATAAATACAAATAAACACAAACAACAAATAAACACAAATAAATCAATACATACAACAAATAAATACAAACAAATAATAAATACGAATGACAAATAAACAGGAAACAACAGACACAAATAAGCTAAGGAAGAGATCCTCCAAAGAGCCGCCTGCAACCTCGAGGGTTTGGGCGAGGGTTTAGGGTTGTCAGCATGAGGGTTTAGAGTTTAGGGTTTATCATACGATATTGGCAGCGTGTAACTCGAGAAACAAGGCCTGAACATCTTCAAAATGCTGCTGCAGCTCGTGGTTGCATGCAGCAACAGAAGTGTAATCGCGGCCCTGCTGCTGCAACCGCTGCAGCAACGCCGCTCTGCTTTGCCTGTAAAGCCAATACAACATCCCAAACCCTAAACCCTAAACCCTAAAAGCTAAACAAACCACCCGCCTCAATTTCATCTTCCTTCTAATATCCCCGTATTTCTGCAGCAGCAGCGCGAAACTGCTAAACTGCACTGCCCCAAGCAGCAGCAGCAGCAGCAGCAACAGCAGCAACACCAGCAAGCGCAGCACTAGCAGCAACAAGTGCAGCAGTAGCGGCCGCAAGTACAACACTATACCAACAACTGCAGCAACAGCAACAGCAGCAACAGCAGCAGCAGCAGCAGCAGCAGCAGGATATGCTCTGACTGTTGTTGATAGTTGGAGAATTCTGCTAGGTCTTTGGGGGCCAGCGGCAATCGCTTCATCTGCTGCTCCTTCGCCTCCGTCAAGACGCTGCGCTGCGTCTCTGCTGCTGCCTTGCAGAAAGCTGCAACGATTTTGTTGGCTCTGCAACACCCAAACCCTAAACCCTAAACCCTAAACCCTAGGCCTTATGCTCTGAACCTCAGACCCAAAAACCCCTAAACTCAAGCTCCACGGTTTGGCCTGGGAATGCGAACAGAGGTTCAGCGTTTACGGCTTGCCGAGCCTCATACCCTAAACCCTAAACCCTAATTTGTGTTTCGAGGTGCTTGGGTTTACTTGTGTAGCGTTTTGTCTATGACATCGTCTAGCTCTCTGGTGAGTTGTTCCTGCTGCTTGGTGACTTCGTTGCGGTGTATGTACACCTCAGCAGCCACCTGCTGCTCCCACAGCGACAACGTTTTGCTGCGCAGTACAGCAGCAGCAGCAGCAACTTCTTCAGGCAGCAGCGGCAACTCGCGCCGAGTCAAATGCTCTACATCGCGAGCAAACAACAACACCAAATCGTTCTTCGCCATCGCGCTCTGATCAAACACACAAACCCTAAACCCTAAACCCTAAACCCTAATCACATATTCCTGTAGTGGTGAAGCGCCTCGTGAAATCATAAGCCCTAAACCCTAAACCCTACACTCTAATTTTTCACTCTGGTGGTGCTTGCACCCTCGACCCGAAAATCTAAACCCTAAACCCTAAACCCTAAACCCTAAACCCTAATTTCTTACTCGAATGGTGGAGAAGTGATTCATGAAGACCTGGACGTCTCCAAACATATTTGCATTTGCCGCTGCGACAAGAAAGCGGGTGAGCTCTGCGAGGTCCTTACCGGACATAAACATCTGCTGCTGCTGCGGCTTCTGCTGCTGCTGCTGCTGCTGCTGTTGCTGCTGTTGTTGCTGTTTCTGGTGCTGCTGGTGCTGCTGCAGCAGGGGCTCTCCTGCTGCTAGCTTGAGCTTGGGGTGTGCTGCAGCAGCAGCTAGCAACCGGCTCTTAAAGGCAGCAAAAGCTTTCGCGTATTCTTTGTCTTCGTCTTCAGGCCGCAGCAAATCCAAACGCTGCAGCAAATTGCCGTTCGATGTCGGCGCACGGAAAGCCTCGCACTCCACCTGGCCGTACAGAGACCTGTACACAAACCCTAAACCCTAAACCCTAAACCCTAAAGCCGATTCGCGCCACCACCCAGGAACTGGCATCAGAAGCGCACACGAAACGCCGCCCCCAAACCCTAAACCCTAAACCCTAGTCCCTAAACCCTAACCTGAGGGAGTTTTTGCTCTGCGTTTGCGGTTCGTTCGCTTCTACTGCCTGGGGTGAGGCCATCCACCGATTCGTGTCCAGCAGCGCCTCCAGCCACTGCTGCGCCGTCAGGCCCTCTAAGTCCTGTACAGACACCTCATACGCCTACCCAGATACCTAGCTACATAGCTAGCCAGCTAACTAGCTAGCTAGCTAGATAGCTACATAGCTAGCTAGATAGCCGAATTCTGACCCCCTAGCTAGCCACCTAGCTCGCTACACACCAACCTAGCTAGTGCCATACCTAGCCAGCTTGCTAGCTAGCTCCACACATACAGCTAGCTAGCAAGCTAACTAGTTAGCTAGCTCCATGCCTAGCAACCTCCATCGCTAGCTAGCTAGGTAGCTAGCTAGCTAGCTAGCTGGGTAGGTTTCAGAAGCAGACCTGGACAAAGTCCTGGACGACCCAAGAGAGACAGCAGGGACTCAAGAGAGAGAGCAGCGCCGAAGAACTGTCAGCAACTTGCTGCTGCTGCTGCTGCTGTTGCTGCTGCTGCTGCTGCTGCTCGGGCATGTCCCGAACAGAACTCGCGTGGGCTCTGAGGGAGAAGAGGTTTGCGTCTCTTGTTAAGTCCTCCAGCAGTTGCAGATCCTGAATGCACCCACCAAACCCTAAACCCTAAACCCTAAACCTTAGCCCCAGTCCCTTGACCTGAACAACATAGCCTAAACCCTAAACCCTAGCCCCTCTTTCGTCCTTCGCAGGACCTGGAGACAAGCTGTTTCGCCGCAGGAAGCCAATAACATGGAGGGATTAGGGTTTAGGGTTTGGTGTTTAGGGTTTAGGGCTTAGGGTTTAACCTGGGCATCAATCATTTTCATTGTCGTGAAGACGAGATGAGAAGACAGAAAGAATGCGATGCTGTACAGCAGCTGATCGTAGCTGCGGGTTACATTGGGGCCCCCAAACCCCTCACTATCTAGCAGCAGCACCTGCACCACAGCAGGTTCTGCTGCTGCTGCTGCTGCTGCTGCTGCTGAGTTTCCTGCAGGCTCTCCTGCTGTTTTTGTTGCTGCTCGTGCTGCTGCTGCTTCAACAGCAGCAGCAGCAGCAGCGTCTGGCAGCAACCGCCCTGTTTTTCTCTCTACATAGATTGGGTTTGAGTGGATGGAGAGGCCCAAGGAGCCAGGAGCCACAGTATAGCCAACCCCAAACCCTAAACCCTCATCAGCTGCTGTCTTTCCCCCAAACCCTCGCATCAAGCTATTCAACAAAAAACTCTTGCCAGAGTGAATTGGGCCTGCACATAACGCAGAATAAACCCTAAACCCTAAACCCTCAACACTGACAACCCTAACATATACACCCCCAAACCCTAAGCCCTCTATCCTGAATCAACAGCCGTAAACCCTAAACCCTAAACCCTAAACCCTACCCAGAGCTGCAATGACAGCTATAGGAGCGGGGATCTTTTCGAGTTCCGCCAGCGCCTCTTCGTTAATCCGGAACCCTGAAGACAAACCCTAAACCCTAAACCCTAAACCCTAGGCCCTAATATAAGCATAAACCCTAAAAACCGAACACCAAATTGTCGAGCTTTCTATGCCGTACTGCTTGATGCTGAACAGCGAAGCGTACTCGTCTGCGGGCCATCACAAACCCTAAACCCTAAACCCTAAACCCTAGCAGGTTACCGGTGTGGAGTTCATTTGGTATGACGATTTGCAGCGGCCTCCCTCCCTTCTTCTTGCTGCTGGGTTCTGCATGAGGGGCCTTCGTAGGCTCCTTCTGTTTGTGTTTCTGCTGTTTCTGCTGCTGCTGTTGCTGCTGCTTCTGCTTCTGCTGCTCTGCATCTGCTGCTGGCGCAGCAGCAGCCAGCAGCACCACCAGCACGATGCAGAGCAGCCAGAACCGCTTCGTGACAGAGGCCGGGCGGCGGGGCCCCGCCCGTGGTACGGCCATCTCTCGCTTACGAAAACCCCAGGCCCTAAACCCTAAACCCTAAACCCTAACTATAAACCCTAAACCCTAAACACCAACCCAGGGGGAGATTGGCGCGTGTCTGTGTGTGTAGTGTTGGTCTCGCGGTCAGTCCTGGAGAGCCTCGTCTAGATAATCATTTAATGCCTGATGTCTTCTGAGAATTGTGTTGCCGACTTTTGCAAAGTTGGGGTGTACGTACAGCTGAGTGGCGATGCGTTCTGCTGCAGGGCGGACCCAGGCCATCAGATCTTCTCTATTTCGAATGAATTCCCCTAATCTTTCCCCTAAATCAAATGGAATTACTTGTACAATCCAGACAGAGGCATAAAAGCGAGCAACAACAGCAGCAACGACCCCAGCAGCACCTCCTAGGGCCTCCATACTGGGCACCACAGCCCAACACCCCCTGAACCCTAAACCCTAAACCCTAAACTTTTAAGCTAATGCTATCATTAGTAATCAAATTTCAATAAGATCTTTACATGGATTTAACGAAGAAAACATTGGGTGGGCCTGGATGGTGTCTGCTGCTGCTCTTGCCGCTGCTGTTGCTGCTACTGCTGCTGCTGCTGCTGCTGCTGCTCCGGTTGCTGCTAAACCCTCGTTTTCTTTAGAAGGTTTTATTATTTAAGGCCCTAAACTCGAAACCCTAAACAACAAAACAAACCGTGGCAAACAATACCAAGCCATGTGGGGTGTAGAGCCGTAAACCCTAAACACTAGTGTTTGTGCTGCACCGCAGGTCCCTGTGCCTTCTTCACTGCAAACCGTAAACCCCTAAACCCTAAACCCTAACTAAACCCTAACGATGAAAAAACTCTGAAGGGGGTGCTCGGATCTTTTCCGGCGGCAGTAGCACCTAGAAGTACTATTTGTTGCAACTTCTGTAGTTTCATTGACCTTAGGGTATTAGGGTTTAGGGTTCTAGGGTTTTATAGGGTTTTATGGTGTTAGGGTTTAGGGGTGTCTTTGTCTGCTTGCTTGCTGCTTGTCTTTAGAGTTTACGAAGTACATACAGTGGGGAAAGCTAGATGCTCATCCCCCCGCCAAACCCTAAACCCTAAACCCTAAACCCTAAACCCTAAACCCTAACCACAGGCTGCCTACAAACGAACAAACGCCTAAAGACAAGTCGAGATAAAGACAATACAACTGAAACTGCGCCTGCTCATGCACTTGCTGGTGCTGCTGCTGCTGCTGCTGCACCTGTATCCGCTGCTGCAGCAGCGGCAGCAGCAACGACAGCAGTATCAGCAAGGGCGGGCAGATCACCAGCTGCTGCTTGCTGCCGCTCCCATCTATGTTTCATGTTGCTCTTGCTGCTGCTGCTGCTGCTGCACTAGCAGTTGCTGCTGCGGCTAATCTTGTTGCTGCTGTCGCTGTAGCAGCTTGAGTTTCCACTTAGGCACACTGTTGGCCGCTTCTGCTGCAGTTTGCTGCTGCTGCAGTTGGTCCTCAGACAGCATTGCCTCTGCTGAGAGCAGCATAACCTGCAGCCCGCCTCCTGCTTCTGTTGCTGCTGCTGCTGCTGCTGCTGCTGCTCTTGGGTTCTTCGATTCTCGCCGTGTGAACTCCCTGGGGCTTTGCTGGGTTTGCTGCTGTTCGGTGCTTTGGCCCTGCTGCTGCTGCTTGTTGCTCGCCTTCTGGCTGTTGCTTCTGCTTCTGCTGCTGCGGCTGCTGCTGCGCCGTCTGCTGCTGCTGCGGCTCCTGACTTGCAGCCTGGGAGGCGACGGCTCCCGCTCCTCAAGCACTGCAGCAGCAACACGACAGCTCGACATACAACTGCAGCAGCAGCAGCAGCAGCACTGCATTAGCAACGACAGCAGCACACGGAGCAGCAGCAGCAGCAGCAGTAGTAGCAAATACAGCAGCAGCAGCAGCAAAGGCAGCAGCAACAGACCTGTCTTGTGCTGCACAGGGCCACTGCCGAAGATCGCGTCCAGGTGGCTCGCCTCCTCTCCCGCAGCAACAGCCTGCGCAGTAGCAGCAGCAGCAAGTGCAGCAGCAGCAGCAAATGCAGCAGCAGTAGCCACAAATGCGGCAGCAACAAATACAGCAGCAACAGCACAAACTCTTTACTTCCGACGCAACGCAGACAGCAAGACAGCCTGCAGCAGCGCCGGCCAAGATGCCAGAAGTCAGCAGCAGCAGCAGCAGCAGCAGCAGCAACAGCGCGGGATACAACAGCAGCAGCACCAACCAGAGCCGCAGCAGCATGGGCGGCACAAAATGGTCAAGCTGTAGCAGCAGCAAGGGCAGCCACAGCAGCAGCAGGAGCAGCAACAGCAACACCAGCAGGGGTAGGAACATCAACACCAATAGCAGCAGCAGCAGCAGCAGCAACTGCAGCAGCAGCAACAGCACACCGTTTTCTTTGCATGTCGATGTCTGTCTATGAAGTCAGCAAAAGAAAATTCACTTTCGTCTTCTACCAAAGCGATTGCTGCTGCTCTCATGCTGCCCTCTGCCTGTACACCCCACACACGAAGGCCCTTGCTGCTGCTGCTTGTGCTGCTGCTGCTGCTTGTGCTGCTGCTGCTGCTTGTGTTGCTGCTGCTGCTTGTGTTGCTGCTGCTGCATGTGTTGCTGCTACTTGTGCAGCAGCAGCAACAGCGGAAACGGCACCAGCAGCAGAAGACTGCAGCATCGAACTGTGTAGCAGCAGCACCACCAACAAATGCAGCAGCAGCAGCAGCAGCAGCAGCAGAAGCAGCAGCAGAAGCAGCAACATACCGCAGCAGCAAAGTCATCTCTCCAGGTGGCTTTGCCTTTGGCTGCCTCTGCTGCTTCTTCATCGATGATCGTCTTCATCTTCCGCATACGCCTAAACAAAATCCTAAACCCTAAACCCTAAACCCTAAACCCCAAACCCTAAACCCCAAACCCAAAATCCTAAACCCTAAACCCCAAACACCAAAACTTTAGCTCTAAAAGCTAAGCCCTAAACTCTACACCCTAAACCCTAAAGCCTGAACGCTAGGCAAGAGGCGCTAAACCCTAAACCCTAAACCCCAAAACCTACACTCTGAACCATATACTCTACAGCCTAAACCCTAAACCCTAAACCCTAAACCCTAGAGGTCTGACCCTTCCTCAGCCGTCAGCGGTCTCCGTGAATCTCCACCGAGTTTTTCACCCCTCTCCTTTTGCTCCTGCAGCACAGACCCTAAACCCTAAACCCTAAACCATAAATCCTAGACAGTAAACCATTGGGAGGCATCTCTTCGCCCTTGTCAACACACCCTAAGCCCTAAACCCTAAACTCTAAACCCTAAACCCTAGCCTCACTTGCAGACGCCGTGCAACTTTTGCCTTCAAAGCAGCAGCAGGATCAGCAACGTCCATTGTGCCTTTGCTGCTGCTGCTGCTGCTACTGCTGCTGCTGCTA